GCCATAACTAGAAGATGGTTGTACTAGGTACTTTACATTTTCTACTAGAAATCCCCAAGATTAAGCTAACCTTTAAAAAAATCACCAAAATTAAACTAAAAGACACTAGTTTTCCATTTTATGTTATGTATTTATTGAAGAAACATTTATTAACCACTACTGTCTGTGAAAGCCTACAGTTTATACTGAGTTCTCATTTTTAAAAGAAATTTTTGACCTGCTAAAAATCAGTATATAGCAGATATTTAAGAGAGCATTTTTTATAGCATCAAATGTTTAATGAAAGGAATCAAGTGTAAGTTATTTTCTTCTACTCATTTAAAAATCTGACCTGGAAGGGGCATCTAGGTGACTCAGTCAGTTGAGCGTCCGACTTTGGCTCAGGTCATGACCTGTGGTCTGTGAGTTCAAGCCTCGTGTCAGGCTCTGTGTTGACAGCTCAGAGCCTGGAGCATGCTTTGGAGTCTGTCTCCCTATCTCTATGTCCCTCCCCTGCTCATGCTCTGTCTGTCTGTCTCTCTCAAAAATAAATAAACATTAAAAGAAAATAAAAATTAAAAAACAGTATATATCTTATACGGTAGTTGTGAGGATTACATAAATGACACAATCACAAATATCTATAGAGTACCTATTATGTGCTGAGGATACAGCAGTGAAAAAAGTACTCCCCTTTTCCTAGTTAGTAATGCACTTAGCGCAGTGCTTAAAACTCAGTAAGTAATTAACTATAGCTATTATTACCTTGGAAATGTCAGATATACCTTACACAATGGGACTGTGTATGCAAGATGTGTTCACATACTTTAAAATTTTCTGTATATTTAAAAACTGTTGACAAGAGAAGAGAATCTGTGGCAGAGTCAGAATTGAGATTCTTTCCACACTGCAGATTCTCTTCCTTTGGAAGGTATCAATGATGCAGGTTAACTTTAGCAGGCCTTGAGCCATCTTTCTATCCCTTACATTATAAAACTCTGTAATTTGAACCAAATCGCTTTCATGCAGTAGTTAACAAATGAGGCATTTCCAAGCAGAGTTCAGGAAAATTCTTTCATTACAGCAAGAATATGAATACCACTCACCAGTTTTCACTACAAATTCTCTTTGCACATATAACTGGCACTGTGGCATTACAGAGATCAGTAGTGTGGCTACAGGAAAGTATAAAGCAAAAATGGAAGTTTCTTAATCTCCTTAATTGATAAGGTATGGCATCTATAATTACCCAGGGCTTCAGAAATCCTCTGTGAATGAGCAGTAAGTTCAGCAGGTAGAAAGATGAAAATGACAAAGAAGGGTGGAGGACAGTATTGTCAGAGGGTATGGGCCTTTAATAAGCCACAAGTACTCATATACAGAGGGAGGAGTAAGGACTTTGAAGCAACCATAATGAGGGAGAAAGAGTTCAATCCTAAACAATGTAATTCATGTATGTGGGTCAAGAAAAAATTAGCAGAGGGGCATCTGGGTAGTTCAGTCGGTTAAGCATCTGACTCTTGATTTTGGCTCAGGTCATGGTCTCATGACCGTGAGATTGAGCCCAGCATCAGGCTCTGTTGGCAGTGTGGAGCCTGCTTGGGATTCTCTCTCTTTCTTTCTCTCTGCTTCTCCCCTGCACACATGCACGCTCTCTCTCTCTCAAAATCAATCAATCAATCAATCAATCAATAAACTTTAAAAAAAGAAAGAAGGAATGAGCAGTAAGCATTTGAGAGGGTTGCAAGGGAAGCAATACTTTGTGTGGAGGGCCAGGTTTTAAGATAAATTTAAAGCATGTATGGGGGACTGGCTGAATTGTTCCAGCAACCTGAGGCCACAATGACTCTGCTTCCAAGTGAATTCTCATGAAGAGCTTCTCAGATGATGGAAGGACTATAAGCTTCTGCAGATGGAGTCAGTGAAGTCCAGGTTTGATTGGGCTCTGGGGGAATCCTACGCAAGGTGGGAAGGCTGGAAAAAGATCAACTAGTGTCCAGAACATTCACCACATAATTATAAAAACACCCAACAAGTTAGATCTTGGCAGATTTAGAGGAAAGGGTGGTGCCTTCTCTGAAGTCGACCACAGCCTAACCCAATCTTAAAACCTTACATTCACTGGGGTTATTAATCCTCAAGGTCATTTTAGATAAAGAATTTAACATACATTAGAGGCCAAAATTAAGAAGTTAAGCAGAATGGACTACAGACTTAATTCACAGCTGATTATATAACCTTTTACAAATCATCCTTAACTGTTCTGTGCTAGTTTCTTATTTAAAAAAACAAACAAACAAACAAAAAAAACACTGCTCATGATAATGTCTGAGACCCTTCTGTTATCACAGGCAAATAAGACCATATTTGTAAGAGCTTATTAGAAGAAAGGAGTAAAGAAATATGTTATTAAATGTAACTCAAACTAGAAAATCTGGCTAAAAAAATTATAATTGACAACATAATGTAGAGAACAGAAGTATAAAACCAAGCCAACTTAGGATTTTAATTTTAAAACTTAGTAAATATTAAAAAGTAAGTTTAAGCTACTTTTAAAAAAATATTTCATTTTATTTTTTTAAGTAATCTCTACAACCAGCGTGGGGCTCGAACTCACAACCCTGAGATCAAGAGCCACATGCTCCACCAACTGAACCAACCAGGGGCCTCACTTTAGCTACTTTAGAATGAAATAACAGCATCTTCTTCTTCTTTTTTAATATTTTTTAAAGTTTGTATTTATTTATTTTGAGAGAAAGACAGAATGAGCAGGGGAGGGGCAGAGAGAGAGGGAGACAGAGAATCCCAAGCAGGCTCCACACTGTCAGCACGAAGCCCGATGTGGGGCTTGAACTCACAAACTGTGAGATCATGACCTGAGCTGAAACCAAGAGTTGGACGCTTAACCAAGTGAGCCACCCAGGTGCCCCTAGAATGAAATAACTTCTATTTCTACACCTTGTCTTGAGAATCACATTCAACATCACTAGTGGCCTAAGAAATACAAATAAAAACAATATGATATCATTTTCTCCTTATCTGATTGGCCAAAATTTTAAAAGATCAATTATAATGTTAAGAGCATTCTTAAATACACCTGACAGGTGGTGATACATTGGTACCACCTTTTATTTACTTATTTTTTTAAAGACTTTATTTGTTTAAAAAAAAATTTTTTTTAACATTTATTTATTTATTGAGAGACAGAGAGAGACAGAGCATGAGCAGGGGAGGGGCACAGAGAGAGGGAGACACAGAATCCGAAGCAGGCTCCAGGCTCCGAGCTGTCAGCACAGAGCCCGATGCGGGGCTTGAACTCACAGACTGCGAGTTCATGACCTGAGCCAAAGTTGGACGCTTAACTTACTGAGTCACCCAGGCACCCCAGAAGATTTTATTTTTAAGTAATCTCTACACTGAACACGGGGCTTGAACTTATAACCCTAAGATCAAGAGTCTCATGCTCTACTACTGACTGAGCCAGCCGGCTGCCCCCATTGGTACTATCTTTTGGAAGAACAATTTGACAATATTTATCCATATGTAAATATACATATCCTTTAATTACACAATCCCACTCAGAATCTGACTTAATAAAATAATCTTATACACACAACACACACACACACACACACACACACACACACACACACACACAGATGTTTACTGCAGCACTGTTTGCTTAAAAAAATGGGTTGTAACTATAAATTTAGATGTATTGGTAGATAAACAGCTGGGTAAATTGGTACATCCATACAGTGGAATAAAAATTAACCATAAGAAAGGTAGATCTTTATGAGCTAATACAGTGATACATTCATAAGGAATTAAGCAGAAAAAAAATGAAGCTGTAAGACAACGTATGGGATAGTGACCCTGTTTTTGTTTAAAAAGACATTTTAAAAATTACAATAGATAACTGATATATTTACATGAGAAACATATATACCAAACATTCATCTTCTAGTGTGTTTTAATCTGAAATTCATATTAACAAAAAGCCGTATTACTTTTTTTTTTTAGGAAAAGGTTATAGGATATTTCAATATAAATAAAATTAGAAAAATGTTTGTGGCTTTGTATCATGTCTTTGGGAAATACAAATTAAAAGATCCTTACTTTAAAAAAATATATTAACTTCCACAGCCCCTCTGGTCTTTGAAATTGTGACTAAAATCCCAAATGATGTAAAATGATGTCCAAGATAACAATGTGCTTAAATTTAACGTGCTACAAGTAACTGAATGTCTTTTAAATTACCGCCCCCCCCCCTTTTTTTTTTTAATCTAAAGAAAGAACTAAGATAAGCAGATCTAAAGTACTGGGGATTTTGTCCTTCTTCTTGTTTAAGACTATTCTATCAGCAAGAACCATCAATAAGCAGCATCAAGCCAGGCTTCAGATAGATAGACCTTTGTATACAACTGCTAAGTGGGTATATATTTTCATGTAACTATGCATGAACGGACATATAAATTTACATGTTATTTATTACATACCTCTTTCATTTCGACCTTTACTTGGCAAGCACATTAAGCAAAGGGGGCAAGCATGGGTTTACAATTATTTGTTGATGCTGCCTCCCGACGAACCATTCAGTAAGATCTCTGTTAGAACACTGCTTTAGGGGCGCCTGGATAGCTCAGTTGGTTAGGCATCCGACTTCGGCTCGGGTCATGGTCTCGCATTTTGTCAATTTGAGCCCCACATCGGGCTCTGTGCTGACAGCTCAGAGCCTGGAGCTTGCTTCAGATTCTGTGTCTCCCTCTCTCTCTGCCCCTCCCCCACTCCCTCCCTCCCTCTCTCTCTCTCTCTCAAAAATAAAGATTAAAAAAAATTTTTTTAAAGAAAAAAAAAGAACACTGCTTTAGATGATCAACAGCCAAAGGGACATGGCTATCATTACACACATATTAGAACAGAATTAGAATAGAATATTCTTTTAGGTAGGCTGACTGATAGTTACAAATTGGCACACTGCCCCCAAAGTCTGACAAATTAGTTCTATGCAGGATACTCACATCAGCATAGTGGCCTATCATATCACATCGGTCACATCGTTTTCTCCAGGAAGGTCTTTCAAGACATCTGTGAGTGGAAGGCATAGGCAAAGAACAGCCTAAGCAAAAGCGGGCTGGGCAGGCATACTGGAGGTGTCCTCTCTCCGAGCAGAGGCAGCAGGGGCGGACTTTCTATGTGGCAAACAGAAAGTCTCTTTAGCAAAATAGTTCAGTCTCAAATAGAAGATTAACTTTCCCTTTTCTCTATAATTCCATAAAATGTTATTTCCAATTTGAGACCCCAGGGAAGGTTAGATCTTGAGCATAACTGTAAAATCAAACAAAATGTCTGAAATCAGAGCTTTAACACAAGCTATGTGTATTCTGTGGTTGCCAAAAAGGCTTACTGTGCCTGTAGTATCAACTGGCATCTACTTCTTATGCTTTATCTTGTGGGAACACTGACAAAGTGGATTGTGTTTGAGAGGGAAAGCAGGTTGATGAGGATCTGGAAGCTAAGTCATAGGAGCAACAAATACTGAAAGAGGCTGCTTTGCCTGGAGAACCAAAGACAAAGAGGAAATATATGAGCTGTCTCAAATATCTGAAAGACAATCATATCATTTGGAAGAAGGAATAATGGAAGGAATGTTTCTTAAGAGCTTACTGTGTGTCAGAGAACATCCAAGAACTTTAGTTCTATGTTGTTCCAAAGGTTGATGTATCTAACATAATTTACACCAATAAACATTTATAAATGCTTAAAATGGTAACTTTCTAACAATAAAAATTAGCCCACAATGAAACAAGCTGTAGAGGGTTTAGAAATGAAAGGGGTCTCAGGAATCCTCATTTTATAGACAAGAAAACAGGCACAGAGGGTGAAATGATTTGCCTAAGCTTGTGCAATTACTAATGGAAAGAAAGCTAAAGTTGATTCCAGGTTTTTCTGACTCAAACTTCATTGTTCTTTCTGTGCTACTATTTTGGCTATCACCTACATGAAAATGTAACATGAAATTCACACATATATTGTACAAGATTTGAATTATAAGGTTATAGGGCCCACCCTTAAGACTATAAAGTAACAATGTGGAGAGAAACGTATTTCACATACTTGTGGAAAGGGGCAGTTTTTTGATAAATGGCCACATTTGTCACAATTTCTACAGGTAACATTTTTGTTGGCTGAATAGTATCGGTGGGTCCATCTTCCAGATGATCTATTGTTAACTATCTGGGCCTAGGAGGAAAAAAAAATTTAAAAATTAATTAATTAATTAATTTTAATTAATTAATTTAAAAATATTTTACTTTGTTCAAAAGAATTAACAGCCATAGTCTGTTTAATCTAGAAACCAGCAACAGAGAACTTTTGTGTTCTTAAAAGAAATAAAAACTTAAAATGGGTTGCCATGAAGACAACTCTACTTGTCTGTCCCTCATCTCACTCTTTTACACTTCTCCATATGGTTCCATTTCTTTTGTATGTTTCTCTATTTACAGTTCAGGTCTAGTAGGGGCACTGACATGCATCATTTAGACATTCTGGTGGCATTCAGAGTCAAAGATATCGCTGATTTCTATATAGGAACATACACCATATTTTTCGGACTGAGAAGCTTTCTTAAAATTTTATTTGGGGCAATTTTTAAAAAATGATTTTGTCCTTTATAAAGTTATAAAACCGTTATCACTACTGAATATATTCTTTCTTTTGAACAGCCCAGGGTTACTGCCTATAAGCTGGATTATAATTTCTAAGAGACAATGGATAATCTCCTTCCAATAGAGTACTTTCAAGACCTATTCTGCCTACACTAATCCAATTCCAGCTCTCCCATATTCTAGCCAAAATCTAGTGTCTTGCAAGAGAATATTAGCAAAACACACCACATGGAATATCTAAAGGGGAATATGTAAAAATGCCAACCATGCTTTTTTATCTTGTTTGGTAGAATTCTAATCTTTGAAAAAGCTTTTCATCTTGTACTTGTTATTCTGCTGGATTGACCAGGTAAGCCCCACGTAGACAAAATCTAATTATCTCTTAAAACTTCTTTTTTCCAAGTTGTAAAATTATTCTCTTTTCTAACCATCTGTCACAATTAAGGCTAATAATTGACAAAGACAAACACCTGCCACATGCTAAATATAGACTAACCATTTCCTTACACTGAAGAGGCAGTTATTTCCGGTGTTGATCTTTAGTGGTACCAGGCAATATGGGCTGAGAGGACTCACCACAGCAGAAGAAACAGAAGGGAAAGGGGACCAAATCACTACGGCAATTAACAGACTGACAAAAATCAAGGCTGAACCACACTTCTGAAAAATTCAATCACCATATACTACAATCAAACTTTTTCTTGCAACATACTCAGACCACTGCTATCTCTAAAAAGTTTATCAAATTATCATAATGAAATGAAAGGAAATTTCAAATCAAAGGAAATTATTAATCTGTTATTCATAACTTTGAAAAACAATTTGATTTTACCTCAGCATCTTTGTCACTGATGAACCAATTTACACCATCTTCTCCTACAAAACAAATAAAATGTTACTCAATCTTGACCCTTTTAAAGCACTTATAGATTGACATTATTCAATTTGTTAGTACTGAAATTGGACCCCAAAGGTGTAGTGAGAAATGTGAATACCTTAACCTCTTATCTTGGCTCTGTGTGGCTCTGAACAAATACTTAGCCTCTCTTAACCTCAGTTTTCTCACCTGTGTAATTCATGGGAATAAGAATATTTGTCCCATCTTCCTAAAAACTACTGTGAAAATCAAATGAGATATGTGAAAATGCTCTGAAAACCATCAAGCTATAAACAAATATAAAAAAAAATAAGTGAAAAACCAAAAACCCAACAACAGATGCAGAAAGCAATCTTATCTAAACTTCCCTTATCTGACTAAAGCAGAGCTTTATGAAAGTCAGCTGCATAGCACCACCCTCCCCCAACCTAGAGTCTCTAGTCAAGGAAGCGACTGACCTTGGCTTCTAGGACATTCCAAAAAACCCAAGTTGTAAAAATTAGCATCATCAAAAGCCTCCATCCTTTGAAGCCTAAATACTTGTGTTTATGAAAGTTGGTAAACAAACCTTTACCTCTGGCAACTGAGTTCAGTTGCTCATTACCAAGTGCTCCCACACTTCTGTTAATCTATCAGCAATTAATTCTCAGGACCCTACCATTCAGACTCAAGCAGGCAGAAGAAAGGTTTTTTCTTCCGATATCAGCACTAACGGTGTCTACTAGCTTCCCATTGTAGTTGACTTTGGTAGTAACAGGTTAAAAAACTGAACTTTAAATACCATCTCATGACTGAGGCTAGAAATTAGCACTGTATTTTATAACATCAAACACAGTGGAACAAAACAACAAACAAGGAGGCCAAATATCCAGAAACCGTTGATTGATCTAAAAATACAACTACAAAAACCTAGGGGGTTTGGGAGCCCTACATTTTTCTTTATCAGCTGTTTTCTTCTCTTTGCACTGTCCCTTTACAAATTTGCAAATTGCTGCTATTCCTTTGGTCTACTTATGACCACGGAGGAAGGGACACATGACTAATGCAGAAGCTAAGGTATCAACAAAGGACTGAAAGATTTTTTTTCTCTCCTTGAAGCAAAGTTAAGATTTCTTCCTTCCTCCTATCTATTCCTCTTCTCTATCTCAAAAACACAAATCAAACTGGACTCTTTAATTTGAAAGGAACTTTGAGGAGACATGAAGTAATCTACGTTTCCCCAGGCCTACCAGGAGTAAGTGTCTAGAGATATATTTTAAAATAAAATACTTTTACTAAGAAAACCAAAAGGCTGCTTTACAAAAAGACCAATCCAGAGGAGAGCAGAGATGCTGTGCTGATGATTATTTCCATTGTAAAATTTGGAGGCTGCATCCATATACTGAGAGTGGAGAATACATTAAATAGCAGCAGCTTCTATTCCTTCATCATCACCGTCCATGTTATTCTTTCATTCAAAAGATCCATCTAAGGAGCATGCTTTGCTGTAACTTTCAAAGCTGCCTTTTGTGTCTCAATGTCCTTCATCTTTAAAATTCAAAATGACCACTAAGAATCACTTTAATTAAAAAACTCATTTAATACTGTCTTAAAAAAATAAAAACCTAAAATCAGTGAGATGCAAAATAGCAACTGTTATCACCCCCAATTCCAAATACATTTATACTGGAACAGAGAATAGTGAAAAAAGGGAAGGTCTGAGAGAGGGAGACCCGACTCCATTTGGATGGCTTTGGGGCACCTGGGTGGCTCAGTCAGTTAGGCATCTGACTCTTGATTTCGGCTCAGGTCATGATCTCACAGTTTGTGGGATTGGGCCCTGTGTCAGGCTCCATGTTGACAATGTGGAGCCTGCTTGGGATTCTTTCTCTCCCCCCCCCCCCCCCCCCCCCCCCCCGCCTCTCCCCTGCTCACTCTCTTTCTCTTTCTTTCAAAATAAATAAACTTATAGATTGTTTCAACATTCCTGTGGAATTCAACAGTATTCCAGGTTGTGTACTAACTCCTCTTAGAAGCTATAGTATATTCTTACTGTAGAAAACTGATCAACAAGTACACAAAACAGGTTTCAATTACAGATGAAATCAAACTTCTCAGTGGTAAATAAACAAAGACATTGCCAGGAATGCATGAGCCAACTCTTGGTGCCACCTCTGGTTCCAGTTTTGGATGGACACTGGTAACAACAGCTGACTCCTGCCTTTTCTCTTTTCTCTATCCTGTTTACTTCTTAACTCTAAATCCCAAACTAACGGAAGCTTTGTTTAAGGGCAACTCAGTAGAACTTCCAAAGACCGCCAATTCTCCTATTAAATTCCTGGTGTGGGACTTGGCAGAAACCTGGGTTCCAGTCTTAACCCTATCTCTTATTTGCTGTTTGGCATTGGGCAGTTTATTGATCTTCACTGGGCCTGTATAATAATGGGTTGGATTAAATGGTGTCCATGGTACTGTCTAGCACTAAACTTCTATGATTCTTTTGAATTTTCATTCATTACTAAAATCAAATACATTGTCCTCCAGGCCTTTGCAACTGGCACAGGGTGTCCTCCCTTAAAGACAATTTCCAAGGGGCCTAGAGGCACTCACCTTCCATGTGTTCACCACCCAAGGCCATAGGATATAAAATGGGATTACCCAAAAGTGTAAAATTAGGACCACACTAAAGATGCCTAATATTAACTCTTAGCTGCCTTATAGCTTTATCTTGCTAATATCTGGGGCAATGATTCTTTTCAGACTTCAGAACTGTAATCAAAGCAATGGCTGGTAACTCTTTCTTTGCAACAAATCAACTGATTTCAACAACCATATACTGAAAGGTTATAATGAGCAAGGTGCTATAGGGTAAACAAAGATGAATATGAGCTTATAACTTAGTAAAGGAGTCAAATGAAAGGTGAAGAAAAGAGTAAGAGAAGACCAAACAAAATTCTACAGTATACTGAGAGGAAGAATAAACAATGTCTGAATTTGGGGGGAAAAAAGGTAAAAAGTCACAAAAGGCTTCACCATAAAAAAACCTTTACTGAAGTATAATTTACATATTAAAAAATATACATGTGTAAAAAATACAGTATGATGCACTTTGACAAAGGCACAATACACCTGTGTAACCACCACAACAATCAGATGTAGCATATCTCCACCATCCCAAAATGTTACCTTGTGCATACCTGCACTTGACCCCCCACCCCAGGCAACCACTCATTTGCTTTCTGTCACCATAGATTTGCTTTGCCTGTTCTAGGACTGCATATAAATAGAATCCCATATTATGTATCACTCTGTATTTGGCTTCTTTCACTCTGAGTATTTGACATTCGTCTATGTCGTTGGGTAGTAGTAGTACTTTGTTTCCTTCTTCTTGCTCAGCAGTATTCCAGTGCGTGGATATGACAATTTGTTTACCTGCTCATCTCCTGATAACACTTAGGTTGTTTCCAGTTTTGAGCACTTATAAAGCAGCAATAAAACATTCTAGTGAAAATCTTTCTTTTTAATTGACATGCGTTTTCATTTCCCTTGGGAAAATATCGAGGCATAGAATTATTGGATATGGTTAAGTGTATCTTTACCTTATATGAAACTGGCAAATTTTCCCAAAGTGGTTGTGTCATGTTACATTCCCATCAGCGATGTATGGGAATTCCATAGTTTCATAATCTTGCCAACGCTTGAAACTGTCTTTTTAATTTTAGCCTTCGAATGTGTGTGAAGTAGTAATGCATTAGGATTTCAATGGGCATTTTTCTGATAACTAATGATGCTAAGCATTTTTTCATGTATTTATTTGCCATTCATATATCTTCCTTCAAAAACTGTTCAAATTTTTAGCTTATTTTCAAACTTTTTTTGAGAAAGAGAGAGAGAGAGAGAGAGAAAGAGAGAGAGAATGAATCTTAAGTAGGCTCCATGCTCAGCGTGGAGCCCAATGTGGGTTTGATCCCATGACCCTGGGATCATGACCTGAGCTGAAATCAAGAGTCTGAAGCTCAACGGATCGAGCCACCCATGAGCCTCTTAGCTTATTTTTAAATTGAGTTGTTTTACCTTTTTTTTTTTTTTTTTTTTTGAGGGGGATGAAGGAGATTGTCTTCCTTTGATTGAATTCTAAGAGTCCTTTTTATATTCTAGAAACAAGTCTTTTATCAGACATGTGTTGGCAGGTATTTCTCCCAGTGTGGCTTGATTTTTCATTTATTTTTAAATTTTTTTTTTTCAACGTTTATTTATTTTTGGGACAGAGAGAGACAGAGCATGAATGGGGGAGGGGCAGAGAGAGAGGGAGACACAGAATCGGAAACAGGCTCCAGTCTCTGAGCCATCAGCCCAGAGCCCGACGCGGGGCTCGAACTCCCGGACCGCGAGATCGTGACCTGGCTGAAGTCGGACGCTTAACCGACTGCGCCACCCAGGCGCCCCTCATTTATTTTTAATAACAGGCTGGAGTTTTCACTGTTGCGGGCCAGGAATTTTACTTGCAGTGTTCTTTTCTTAGAAAAGCAAAACTTCTAATAAATTTGACAACCCTTCCCTTCACAGTTTTTATGCCCAAAGAAATCTCTCTATGCAAGGTTACAAAAGCCAAGTACTTTTTATGTTTCCTTCTAAAATTCTATAGTTTTGGCTTTTTATGATTAGTTATTATCCATTTCTCCCCATATGAATATGCAGTTGTTCTAGCATCATTTGTTGAAAAAATACCCCTTCTTCATTGAATTGCTTTAACAACTTTGTTTAAATCAATTGACCATATATACATGTGGGTCACTTTCTAGAAGTTCTAATATGTTACATTGAGCTACAGGTCTATAATTACACCATATTACAGCTTTACTTCAAAAAACTAAAATCCTGTAGAATAAGTTTTCCAACTCTTTTGCTCTTTTTCAAGATTGCTTTGGTTATTCTAGACCACTCTGATTCCTGTATAAGATTCAACTTGCTTTTTTTTTTTTTTTTTCTTTTTAAAGTAAGCTCTACAGCCAATGTGGGG